CTAAAAACACATCTGTTCCACCTTTATTTGACCCTCTAACTCTAGCACTCTCTATTCTAATTCTATTCTATGTTTATATATTAAATATATTTATTTATAATATAAATATATATATTTTCAAAATATATACTGTATGTGTGTGTATTTATATATACATAACAAATATACACAGAACACACATATATTATGCAAACAAATGAATAGATTAATCGTTTGACAGCACTAACCACAATAACCACATTTAGCAGAACTACCACATTTTGCTAGAAGTTTGATTGCATCATATAATAATTGCTGTTAATAGTGTTCATCGTCTGTTTGATTACGTCTTTAATAGATTTTTCCGTACATTTCTGCCATATGTACATTCACCACTGATAAGCTACCACTAAATATATTGTAGAAACGTAATTTTCTGTAAAGTTGCTTTGCAACGATTTGTATCGTAAAAAGCGCTATACAAATAAACTTGAATTGAATTGAACTAGTATGTCTATATTTTCTTCTGCACTGGAAGCTTAAGTCAAATTCTTTGTGTTTGTAAACATACTTAGTAATAAAGCTCTTTCTGACATCTGAATAGTTTTAAAATGCAAAGCTCATTTTCTGCAGTGTCTTTCGTCGTGTGTAAATCTCCATTCTCTCTTCCTGTGTGGTTTTATTGTGATCTCTAGTCAAACAGAGCAGCTCGACTTCACTCACTTCGGCTGAAAAAGAGATTTGAGACGCTCATAACCGGTCGAACCTGATTTCTGCAGAATAACACGAGTAGCATTTTTCAACCATTACACGACACTGCATGAGCTCCAGGACTGAAAGACTACCTGACCAGTCTTACCAGACGAATATATTCATTTAAATAAATGATATAAACAATATCTAATATATACAATAAAATAAAAAAAACGTTTAGATTATATCACTGTTAGTACAAACGATATGAACTGATGATTAAATATGTGTGTTTGCAGGATTCTCCAGAAAAGCCCTGTAACCCAGTACTGTCTGAAGAGGCCAAACTGAAGGAGAGATATCCGAACCTGGGCCAAAAACCCGGCGGCTCGGACTTTCTGATGAAGAGACTCCAGAAAGGAGTGAGTTGAGCGTCTCTCTGTTCATCATTAGGTTTGATTTCCAGGCTGTTAACATCACTTACTGACAACAAATCAATGTCAAACTTCTCTTGCTTTCCAGCAAAAATACTTTGACTCTGGTGATTATAACATGGCAAAGGCCAAGATGAAGAGCAAGCATGTGGTGACGGCCGGAGCGGATAAGAACCTGGTGACAGGAGACCATATTCCCACACCGCAGGACCTTCCTCAGAGGAAAGCCACGCCACTCGCCAGCAAACTGGCCGGATAAACACACACACAGAAGCAGCTGCAGAGACGAGTGCTAGTGTTGCTCTTCTGCACAGCTGAACCTCTAGAGCAGAGCAGATCCGATCCGCTCACTAGGGTTGGGTGGTATGACGCCAGGAATGATGAGACATGACGGAGTAATGTGAAAATACAGAGCGGCTGCGTCCCAAACCAGAGCTTGTGTTTGCTGCTCCACACGAAGCGGAGCTGTTGCTAGGCAACATCGGAATTCATGTAGAATTCAACAGTGCAATCAGAATTTAGTGCGAATTTTTAAAAAATGCTAAAAAAGGACCAGTAACACACTGAATTAAACACGAACGTTTGAAGTACACGGAAAATACTATATTTCAGTCTTTCTACTTCAAACGTTGGTGTTTAATGAAACATGTTAGAATTTTTGTCAGTGTTAAAACAGACTGAAATTGTATTTTCTTGTAACATTTATTCCGGTAATCTTTATTTGCAACTTCAAAACTTTTTTTTTTTTTTTTTTAACAGTGTATTGCTTTTTGTTTTGTTTTATATTAATAATAATTACAATAATAATAATAAATGATCATAATATGTTTTACTGTTTTGAGCTCAGACCTAACAATAAATATCGGACTTCTCATGCATTTGAATAAAATATTATATTTTACTGAGGAAAAAAAAAAACAGTTTTCAGTTTACAAATTACAGCTTTTATATATATATATATATATATATATATACACAGTGGGTACGGAAAGTATTCAGACCCCCTTAAATTTTTCACTCTTTGTTATATTGCAAATATTTTCAAGCATTTGTCTTTAAGTATTTATTCTCTGCATGATGTTACTGTAGTTACTCATACTGTTATGTCAGATTTTGGTCATATCGCCCATCCCTACTGGACTCCTGGATCTCACACACAGACACACACACACAGACACACACACACAGAGACACTCACACACACACACACACACTCACTCACTCACTCACTCACACACACAGACACTCTCTCACACACACAGACACTCTCTCACACACACACACACGTGTTTTGTGAGCTGAAAGTCAGATTTCAGAGCTGAAGGAGTGAGAAAACCACACACTAATACACACCAGCGGTTGTTGGTCTATATAGCTTTATAGCTGCTAAACACACGACTGAATGAACGAAGCGATGTGTCTCTCACACACACACACACACACTGAACTGCATGTAATGTTAAAAATGTCACTTTCTTCATCTTCATCATTTCTTCATTACAGTACCGTCCTCTCCAGCATTATATGCTTCATGCATCTTTTATGTGTATTTCACCTTTATTTCTCTTAAAGAATGAATAACACAAAAATATTTCCTGGGTCAAATAATAAGAAATAAATATAATAAATTATATAATTATTTCATATAATTGCTTATTATTTTACAAAGAAATTATATTGTAATATATTTTTCAAAAATAGATTTAACAAAACAAATAAATAAAGTAAGAGGACATAGAATGACATTAAATGACAAATATCAGAATCTTAATGGTGCTAAATTGAGTAAAAAAATTTTATGCAATATATATATATTGCATAAAGAAAATATGCCCCCTTCCTGTTTTTTACATTTTTTGCATATTTGTCACACTTAAAAGATTCAGATCATCAAACCAATTTTAATATTACACAAAGATAATGCAAGTAAATACAAAATACAGTTTTTAAATGATGATTGCATGTATTAAGGGAAAACAGCTGTCCAAACCTACCTGGCCCCATCCTGTTAAATCATGAAAGAGTGATTAAGCACATTATTTTAGAAAGCTGAGTTAAATCTCACTAGCCACACTCAGACCTGATTACTGCTGAATGAAGAAATCCCTGCAATAGAACCTGTCTGACGAAGTGAAGCAAGCTTAAAGAGCAACACATCACGCCGCGATCTAAAGAGATTCAAGAACAGATCAGAAACAGAATAGTTGACGTATCAGTCTGGAAAGGGTTATGAAGCCATTTCTACGTCCAAAATTACTCCCAAGAGCACAACGACGACTCATCCAGGAGGTCATAGAAGAACCCAGAACAACATCTAAAGAACTGCAGGCCTCACTCGCCTCAATTAAGCTCAGTGTTCATGATTCAATGACAAGAAAGAGACTGGGCAAAAATGGCATCCATGGCAAAAGCCACTGCTGACCGAAAAGAACACAAAGCCTCGTCTCACATTTGCCAAAAAATATGCCCAAGACTTTTGTGCAAATATTCTGTGGACTGATGAGACAAAAGTTGAACGTTTTGGAAGGTGTGTGTCCCGTTACATCTGGCGTAAAACCAACACAGCATTTCATAAAAAGAACATCATACCAACAGTCAAACATGGTGGTGGTACCGTAACATCTGGCGTAAAACTAACGCAGCATTTCAGTTTGTGACCTCAAGCTCAAGCACGCTTGGGTTCTGCAGCAGGACAATGATCCCAAACACACCAGCAAGTCCACCTCTGAATGCCTCAAGATAAACTAAATGAAGGTATTGAAGTGGCCAAGTCAAAGTCCAGACTTAAATCTGATTGAGATGCTGCGGCATGACCTTAAACAGTCCATTCATACTCGCAAACCCTCCAATGTGGCTGAATGAAAACAATTCTGCAAAGAAGAGTGGGCCAGAGTTCCTCCACAGCGATGTGAAAGACTCATTGCCAGTTATCGCAAACATTTGATTTTGAGGTGATGTGAAGTTTAGTCTGCAGGAGGTCGTTCAGTGTGTCTGACTGTAATAATGTACATGTATTAATGTATGTTACTGTACAGTGAATAGTGACGTATGAGGACACATTTATGGTGATGATAATGTCCTGATGTTATCAAATGTACAGTGTGTGTGTGTGTGTGTAAGTTAGTATTTGAAATAAAACTTAACATTAAGTTAAGCTTTGCTCTGGGATCTCCTTTGACTTTATGTAAAGAATTGTGAATTCTGTAGATATCCAGTAATCTGATCTGTTATTGTTATTATGTCCAGCAGAGGTCACTAGTGACAGGAAGTCATGAATAATAATTAAAAAAAAAAGTATAAATATTTAAAATGTTCAAAAATAAAATGTGTGTGTGTGTACAATTTTACATTTAAATAAGTGAAATTATATACGGAAAGACACACACACACACCATTTTAACTACATAAACGAAACATAAAAATGTGTGTGTGTATTACCAGTTACAAAAACAGTAAGATTTTTAATGTTTTTTAAAGAAGGCTCTTCTGTTCACCAAGCCTGCATTTATTTGATCCGAAGTACAGCAAAAACAGTAATATTTTGAAATATTTTTACTATTTAAAATAAGTGTTTTCTATGTGAATATCTATTAAACTGTAATTTATTTCTGTGATGCGCAGCTGTATTTTCAGCATCATTACTGCAGTCTTCAGTGTCACGTGATCTTCAGAAATCAGTATAATATGCTGATTTGCTGCTCAAAAAATAAATCATGATTTCAAAACTGCATTTTGTAGTTACTCGGGTTATCTTTGTGTAATATTAAAACTTGTTTGATGATCTGAATCATTCAAATGTGACAAATATGCAAAAAAGTAAAAAAAAAAACAGGAAGGGGGCAAAAACTTTTTCACATCATTGTATGTGCCTTATATCTAGTCACTTATTTCTAAACTTCCTGTGATTTGTACAGCTTATGTAGGCATTTGATGTAGGTAGGATATCTATATTTTAGTATTCACGAGTTCGTCTGCCTATTCAGACCTGCTAGATAATGGTAAACGAACTTGGCTTGCTGTCCTCAAAGGAGGCTCAAACCCGAGGCACGGCTTGAGTTTCGAGTTAGAATCCCCCCTATGATTGTATGGTTTGAAGGAGAACTGAATGAAATAGAGGAGGAGAATGGGAGGCAGAGGGATGCCGGAAGAATTGTCGCTGGGACGGCACAATGACTGCTACTTATACACACTCGTAGTGATGATTGACAGAACTGAATGTTTAGGCTCCTCCCAAACCTACGTTTGGAACTTCATATAGTGGTCATCAGGTGTGTACGTGAAGCAAATATTTACGCTGCGCATCACAGATATAAATTACAGTTTAACACATATTCACACAGAAAACACTTATTTTAAATAGTAAAATTATTTCAAAATTTTACTGTTTTTGCTGCACTTTGGATCAAATAAATGCAGGCTCGGTGAGCAGAAGAGACTTCGTTAAAAAAAACATTAAAAATCATACTGTTCATATACACATACAATATACTATATATTGAAAATATTTACATGTATATACATTTATATTCTTATATGCATGTGTTTTTATTTATATATACATAATAAATATACACAGTACACATACATATATTATGTAAACAACAACTTATTTTGGATGCGATTAATCGCGATTAATCGTTCGACAGCACTAATATATATACATCATTGAGATGTCTTAAAGCACAGTCTATCTTGTTTCCATAAATGTCATTCTGACCCGCATTAACGCAGATTTGCCCGTGAGTCAGAGGGTAAAGGTTCAGAGGGTGTGTGTTTTTACATACCGACTAATCTGAGCTCGCCGCCTCTCTCTCACAGCTTGGCTTCCAGTTGAACGTATATAACGCGTTATTTATAGCATAGACTGTATATCTCGACGGTTTCTTTGTGTGCGGTGGCGAAAATTACCAATAATTTCACCCACGGCCCGTTCGAAATAACTCGGAGCCCACAAAAAGAGCATTCCGGGGAAGTCCAGAAGCTGGCCCGTGTAGGGGGAGGAGTTTCGGGGAAAATCCGTGACGCTGCACGCAGCACGCAGCACGGAGTATAAAAGCGCTCCGCTTCGCAGCTACTTCCGCTTCACTCTGCGAGCAGGAGTGTCGACCTGCGCTATAACCGTCACAGACTAAGCGTTAACCTTCAGCGGTCAGACCGACTCGAAGCTTTAATCTAGTCGTCTAGGTCGTGTTTCGGTATCTAGATATGACTCTGAGTTTAGTCAGAAGAACGGCTGCGGTGAGTCTGCTCGGCGCGCACACGGCGCTCGTGCCCGCGGCCGCACTCAAAGCGCGGAGCGAGGACGAGCTCGACGGGTGCGCGGATGAACCGGACGCCGCGGGGAAGCCGGTAAGACCGGGAGCGAACGGCCTGAGAGGACTACAGCTGGACGGACGCTTCGTTTCCGCGGCGGACGGATCTCTACCGAGCACACCGGACCCGCAGGAGCTCGGTTCCGCCGAACTGGACCGCGACACGAGACAGCTTTTGTTGGATTTCTACCGCACGCACACCGGAATGTGTCCACAGGACCGGAAGCAGCACCACGCGTTACCGACAATGACTCAAGTTGTCGCGGACATTCTCCTAAAGCACGAGATCGCATACAAAGGTAAGACGAGCGCATGCGCACTCGCTATCCCCCCAAACAAAGCTGCGCAGGGTTGCCAGGTGTTTGCAACAAAACCCGCCCAATTGCACTCAAAACTATCCCTCGGTAAATTGGCGGGGTTCCCTTGGTACAATTCGCATTCCAGGGGC